TGTATCTATCTAGAATCGATTGGATCTTGAAACATTATATTATTGGTTAACATTTTATAATTAATGACAGTACTGTACAAATATTTGGGGTAGGACAGATTTTTAAAATGTTTTAAAAATATTTTTTTACATAAAAAATTATGTTGTGAAATATTATAGCAATTTAGAATAACAGTTTATTATAATTATAATTTGAATATATTTTAATTAATATTATTATAAATAATAGTCAATAATAAATTGAGCAGTAAATTAGCATATTAGAATGATTTCTGAAGGATCATGTGACACTGAAGACTGGAGTAATGATGCTGAAAATTCAGCTTTACATCACAGGAATAAATTATATTTGACAGTATATTCAAATAGAAAACAGTTATTTCAAATTGTAATAATATTACTGTTTTTACTGTATTTTTGATCAAATAAATGCTGCTTATCTATATAGTGATTGTAGCTTTATGTCATTTTCTCAAATAAGAGCAAAATATAATATTCCACAAACACATTTCTTTAGATATTTACAGATTTGCAGCTTTATGATATCTAACACTCTGGATTTTCCAGTTTTACCTACAGAATCACTACTTGATACAATTCTAAAAATCAACCCACTCTCCAAAAATAATATAGGTTTGTGATATATTCTCTGATTTCTTCACAAAATTTAACAAACTACAGAACTTTGTTTACATAATAATACAAAAAACATGATTTCTTTTTCAACTTTAATAGCCAGACGTCTTATATTGCGTAAGTGGAAGGACAAATCTCCACCTACTTTTAGTCAATGGATTAGGGATCTTATGTACCACATTGCATTAGAGAAGATTCGATACTCCATTAAAGGTGCAGTCAAACTTTTTTCTCTATTTGGCAGCCAGTGCTGACATACATAGAGCAAATGGATCCAAATGTAATATTTTCTGCTTAATTTTGATGTCATTTTTTCTCTTCTCATTCCCTCCCTTTTTTTTATTTTTTCAAATCTATTCTGGTTCAATGTACATATATGTATAATAAATGAATGAACACGTGTATATGTATCTATGTGTATATATATGTTTATAAATAACAATAGGGTACAATGGTGGGGGGTGGGGGGCCTCTGTTGGAGCAAGACATTTTTTTTTCATCCTTTTTCTTTTGAAAATGTTGTTATATTATGTAAAATATTAATAAAAAGACTTTGAACAAAAAAAGAAATAAATGCTGCCTTGGTGAGCAGAAGAGACTTCTTTCAAAAACACTATAATCTCATAATTATTCCAAACTATTGACTAGTAGTGTATATAATTTGAAAATATAATTATATAATATATATTTTAGAATATTGTATTTTAGAATTGTTTTTTATCACAATACGACAAGCTACAGTTAGTCGAAATGAATTTAAATAAATAAATAGGGTCAATTTTGATTTCAGGTTGACTTAAATATTAGTGTGGAATAAAAATACTCTCTTCTGATTTTCCTCCCCAGAATGCCTGTGTAAATACACAGTGCCCTGTCTGCTCGGCGTGGTGCGAGCGTTTGGCCGCTACTGCAACACAGAGGAGCCGCTGCTGTCTAAACTCTTCCCACGGGTCAGTCCTCAGCCCTTGGGCGCAGGAGACGGGGCGGAAGTGACCCGACGACGATCCTTTAACGATTTCCGCTCCATTCTACCCAGCTCGCTCCTCACCGTCTGCCAGAGTGACACTTTACGCCGTAAAACCATCAGCGTTTCCAGCATCTCACAACAGGTACCAGCAGAGGGCGTCCGCATCTTTAAAATGAGAGCGCAGCGATCAGAAATACAGGCATCCACAGACTGAGGCCTAGAAATGTATTAAACCGGAGCAGGACGTTTTAAATTTATTAAAAGTCATGTTGCATACACTGCAAAAAATATCTTCCTCAGTATTTTTGTCTTGTTTTCCAGTACAAATCTCTAAACATTCTTAGATCAAGATACATTTACTTGAGATGCTAAAAGAAGATATGAAGACTTATTTTCTTAGTAATTGAACAAATTCTAATGAGTAAAACAAGCTTAAAATATCTGTTAGTGTGGTTAGAAAAATAAACGTGCTTTTCCTTTGGAACGGTCATTTTTCTGAGCCCATTGGCAGATACTTGTGCTTGTTTAATCATACAGTAAGCTCACTTCATTCTGATTAATTTCTTTGTGTCCCCTTCCATTTATTCCTCAAATTGTGTCTTAAATTTACCTTCACAGAAACCTGCAGAAACCCATGCCAACCAGTGTCCTATGATTAAAACGTAAAATAATACTCTATCACATACAAACTTTTGATAGGAAAAAATAGTAATAAAACAGTATTTTAAAAAAGCAAGTGTTGTTAAAGGTGCTTATATAGACATGTGAGATCAAAAAAAGCATCATATACAATTGAAATACAAAAAAATATATAAAATATAATCGCGTAAAATCATATAAAATACTAGATTATATGATTTAGCATTTGTTGAATTTCTCTTTTTGTTTTCTAGGCCAGTCCAGAACGTGCCGGACTTCCTCCCAGTTCTCCTGCTGACCCTTCTGCTCCTTATTTTGAAGGTAACTTTAAAAATAATAGAGTTTTTGCTATTAGTTTTGCTTACTAGACAGTATTTTTAGTGCAGATGACATGTTTGGACAAGCCTTTGATGCCATTGCCCAGAAATGCTGTCTAGGTTTGATGGGTCTTAACCTGATTTTCTTTTTGTGTTCTAGCTGGCTCGTATCTGCCGGATGGCAGCGCTGTGGACCCCGACTACTACTTCTCCACCATAAGCTCCAGTTTCTCCGTCTCGCCGCTCTTCACGGGCAGCAACAGTAAAGGGTTTGATGTACCGCTGGATTTACTGAGGCAGCTTCTGCAAATGGTCAGTGCTCTGCAATGCTTTCCGCTACTGTAGTATATTATGTGATGTATTTTTGTGGTTCCTTTCTCTTCTTGGATAGGTCGAGCAGTTTGTGTCAGAATCCTTTATGAAGACACTGGATCAGACTATGGTTGAAGTTCTGGAGGTACCTGCTTTGATTTGGATGCTTCTGCTTTGTTCTGTTCAAAAGACAGTCTGTTGCTTTCTGGACATTTGCTTTCTTTGTTACAGGTCAATGCATCAGTTAATCTGTTCTACAAGACATTCAGTGATCCGCTGTATGTGGCCATCTTTAAAATGCTGAGGGACACTTTATACTACATGAAAGGTAAATTGTTGTTAATAGTGCGTAATGTATGAATTACATTTTTAAAAACATTTAAATAGTGTTAATTAAAACATATTGTTGTTTTTATTCTATTACATGTATTTGAATAAATTACAAAATAAAATTATTATTTATTGTGAATAAAATCAAATAATTTTTGAATTTAATATAAATCAAATAATAATTGTTACTCATTTTTATTATTGTTGTTATTATTATGATATCACTATCTGTTACATATATTATCTGTTATATAAATGTATTTATTTAAATTTAATTGTAATTATTTATATAATTTATACTTATATTTGTTTAAATGAGATATATATAATTTGTATTATTTATACTTATCTATTATATAAATATTTGCAATTTATTACAGTAATAAAAATCCAATTATTTTTGTGCCATTATAAGTATTATTAATCTACTATATTTATAATAAACCACAAATTTATATAATATAATTGATTACAAATAAAACCAAATAATAATAATAATAATTGCATCATTCTTAATCTATTATATGTATTATTATAACAATCAATAAAAACAGTATATTGACACATAAATAAACTAAAATGTATTAAAAATAAAAAAATAACACTTTTGTGCTATTATAATTATTATTAATGAGTTATATTTAATATTATAACAACAAATAAATAAAATCAAATTACAGTTTATTACAAATAAAATCTGGCATCAAAATATTTAAATGTTCAGTAGAAAAAGGGTTTACATTTTTAGGTAATTGGAATAGAAAGTTTAGGAAAAAGAAAATATATTTTTCTACAGTGTAATTAGCCAAATCAGGTAAGCCACTAAATTTCACACAGATGTTTAACATCTCTCAGACATATGGCTTTCAGTAACTCTAGTTTCTAGTTGTAGGAACTCTTGCTATGCTGTTATGTGATGGTTTGATGTGCACAGACCTGCAGGTGTCGTTCGTGAAGGAGGTTCATGACTTTGTTCTGGAGCAGTTCAGCAGCAGTCAGTCTGAGCTGCAGAGGATCTTGCATGACGTGGAGTATCTGCACAGCGAGCTGAACCCGCTCAAACTGCGCTGCCAGGCCAACGCTGCCTGCGTGGACCTCATGGTGTGGGCCGTCACGGAGGAGCAGGGTGAGACTCCGAGAGGATTCTGGTATTATGTGCCTCACATATGTGTCATGTGACTTCTCTAACTGTTCATTTTTTTGGGTTGTTTCTGCCAGGTGCGGAAAACCTCTGCACAAAACTGTCCGAGAAGCTGCAGTCCCAGACGTCCAGTAAGGTCATCATCGCTCACATGCCTCTGCTCATCTGCTGCTTACAGGTGCGTCCAGAGCTCTGCCCCACTCAAAATGCACTGAAGAAATTCATTTTGAACATTTAGGGGTAAAATGCAACATTTATGGCGTTTCGTGGAACAGGGTCTCGGACGGTTGTGTGAGCGTTTCCCTGTGGTGGCTCATTCAGTCACCATGTCTCTAAGAGATTTCCTAGTGGTACCTTCACCTGTACTAGTGAAGCTCTACAAATACCACAGTCAGTACACCACAGGTGAGATCCTCCCCTTGATATCTTTGATATCTAGATTTATGCTGCGTATATTTGCTGAATATTTACTCATCCTCAGGCCATCCAAGATGTAAATGAGTTTGTTTCTTCATGAGAACAGATTTAGAGAAATTTAGCATTGCATCACTTGCTCACCAATGGATGCTCTGCAGTGAATGGGTGCCGTCAGAATGAGAGTCCAAACAGCTGATAAAAACATCACAATAATCCACACCACTCCAGTCCATCAGTTAACATCTTGAGAAGCCAAAAGCTGTGCGTTTGTAAGAAACAAATCCATCATTAATACGTTAACCTAAAATACTGGCTGAAATATGAGTCCTCTATCCATAATAACGCTTGCTCCAGTGAAAACATCCATTCTCTGTTGTTCTCTCACATCAAAATTCAACAACATATTTGGTTATGTTTTGGACTGTTTTCACTTCTAAACGGTGCTGTGCATATTACTCTCTTGATTCAGATGAGACAACTTTTTCAATCAAGAAAGCAATATTATGGATTATGGACTCGTATTTTAGCCAGAATTAATAGTTCGTAGTTAAAAATGTCTTGATGTATTTGTGACTTGTGACACAGCTTTTCGTTTCTCAAGATGTTAACTGATGGACTGGAGTGGTGTGGATTACTTGTGATGTTTTTATCAGCTGTTTGGACTTTCATTCTGACGGCACCCATTCACTGCAGAGCATCCATTGGTGAGCAAGTGATGCTACATTTCTCTAAATTTGTTTCAATGAAGAAACAAGCTCATCTGCATCTCACATGGCCTGAGAGTAAGTGCATTTTCAGCAATTTTTCATTTTTGGGTGAACTAATTCCTTTAAGAATATAAACATTTGAATCAGTGCGAGTAGTCCAACTCCATTTCCCACTAAACAGGAACAGGAGAGATCAAGATCCATGTGACCAATGAACATTCCCAGTCCACCTTTAGTTCTCACCCCAGTATGAAGAGCCAGCCATCCATGTATGAGCAGCTCCGAGACATTTCCATCGACAATATATGCAGGTAAACCTAATTTATTCCTATGAAATTATTTTCAGCTGAAAGTAATGCCTAGTTCTTATACATAATTTACATAATATCTGTCCTATACAATATGTGACCCTGGACCACAAAACCAGTCTTAAGTCGCTGGGGGATATTTGTAGCAATAGCCAAAAATACATTGTATGGGTCAAAATTATTGACCTAAAAATCATTAGGATATTAAGTAAAGATCATGTTCCAT